CATCATCATTATGATCACCATTATCATTAGCATCATTACCATTCACATCATCATCATCATCATCATCACCATCATCATCACAATTATCGTCATCATCACTACAATCATCATCGTTATCATCACCATCATCATCGTCACCACCGTCATCACCATCTAATTGTTATATTTCAAATAAATGTTTGGCTTAAAGTAACTATTTGACTTAAAAGTAGACAAGAAAGCGAGGGACAATAATGATATTTGGATACATTTTTAATTGTCAAGTGTGTAAAATGTTGCTGGACCGTTATAAAAGTGTATGGATTTTAAAGTTCCCTTTGTCTAATTGTTGTACAATAAAGTTTATAAAACTATTACTTAATACTTATTTAGATAGATTGCTTTTTATGAACGAGAACGATTTAGTCACTAGCACTGAAATTGGTATTTAAATCGATTTTTTGCTAAAACGGAGATGCACAAGTAACTTCACTGTGTACACTCCAATCCGAAAGGAGCCCCCTCTCACGTGTGCGAAGGGCGAAGGTGATGCTGTATGAATTTTTGTTATTAGGAGGCTTTTAGTTGAATTGACACTAATGATAAGAAAAATTTAAACGCATTTTGTATTCCCTAGAAAACATGTTTGTTTATAATAAATTGGAAAGTTACGGTATGTATTCGACGTGTAAGTTATTAGAATTTATCCTCGACGGGAAATATTGCGATTTCCTCGAGTGTTTAATTTTTTTTCTTCTTTTCTTAAAATTAGGACGACGTGGAACTGGCTCCCATGAATGAAAAATTGCACACTTTTTAAATTTTTATTTATTACTGTGTAGTAAAGTATAAGTATGTCTTCTTATGTGTAACAGACTAAGTAAGCAAGCAATCATATTAAATAAATAATGCTTAGCATTCATGTAATAACATAAAAGTTATTGAAAGGGACACATTTTTGGAGGTTATCTGAAATCGACCCAGTCCCGGATTGTAAATTAATGCAACTTGCTCGAAAAATTTGGTATTTTCCCTAGGCTAGACTATGATATTATGATATTATTACCACCAATTTCATAGTGCAATTAGCGAGATCTTGTCTATTTCAGACTGCACCAAACTTAGCCCAAATTCAAGCTCTCGACAATGACCAACCAACCAATTTGCTGGTGACTTTCTTCCAATATTGGTTAGTATCTAATTCAGCGATATTCTTTTTCTTTCCTTAAAAAAAAATTGTGGAAAGCGGAGGTCATGAATTCTATGTACTCAATTAGCAGACACAAATGATGGTGTGTTTGATTAAATTTTCGTGATTAGCAATTAATTATAATTATGTTTTCAGTTCAATAGTAATGGCTGATACAAGAAGTGAATCAAGCATCAACAAGTGCAGTCTCTGCTTCATAACTCTGACTTGCATCGTAGAAGAACAATTCGCAAATTCTATAATGCATGATCAAAACCTCACATTCAAGGTATTATGTTCTTATCGAGTTCTTAGGTTTTCGCGATTGTTACACATAGGAAATGCAACTATTTTTCCGGATTTAAATAGCGTTGACTGCGAGTCAACCGTGACCATGGGACCTGTAAAGGGCCCGAAACGTCGGTTTGTTTGAAAAAACAAATATAAGCGATTTAAATCCGGAAAAATAGTTTCACTTCCTAAATCAAAGATAGTAAGGAGAATATTATGTCTTTTTTGTTTATTTCTAGGTTCAACTGTACAGACTTCCAATGCGTCATAGAAAAATTGTACCGGAAGAACCTCCATCGCAACCATTAGCATCCACTTTGATTGGTATTCTTATCTTGTTCCAATTTTCTTATTTTAGCATTTGAAGCTTAAGATCTGATTGATGCACTGTGTTGTCTCCCTCTGGTACCGTGCCGGTCAAACCATAATATTTCTTGTTAACATATCAATGGCACACTATTATAATGCTTGCCATCGTGGTGAAAGGGATTGCCAATCGGCATTAGGTGCGCTTTGTGTTGGACCACAGATAAATTAATAAGTCTGTCGTTTTTAAATATGGAGTAAAATGACATTGCAGATTTCCAGTTTTCATAAAATTTTAAATGGTCACGTAGTTGTTGTACAGGGTCAAGGACACGTCAAGCTTTACACCTGAGACGTAAATCTAACTCTATGCCGCTTACGATAAGAACGATCCAAACTAGAGATGAAACGGATATCCAGACCAGATATCCGCGATATCCGGCCGGATATATGACCCAATGCCGTAAACATGTCATGACCGGTTTACAGCGCACATCGCCGTAATTGCTTGATTAGTGAATGATTGCACTTTCACACTATTTGATTTGTTGTGGTCACATGGCTTTTACAAAAACGATTAATTTATTCGATAATACATAGGGTGCACTGTAAGTTTCCGGAACTGGCCACTTACATAAACAATATTTAAAAAGTAATTACAACATTTGAAAATGGAACTCTTTGGCTGTAAAATACAGTTTGTTTCATCTGACTCACTTGTTTTACATTGTGGCGTCATTTTAGAAATTGGTTGTCAACATCACCATGGATTTAACTCGTGAAAATTTTCTTAATATGATTTTCTACGACTTCAAGTGTAATGTAACATCTCAGCGGAGCTTCGCTTGGCTTCAAACTGCTTTTGGCGATGAAGCACCATGCAAGATTTGTAACTGGTTTGCAGAATTCAAACGCGGTCGTGTGAATCTCAGTGACGAATTTCGTGATGGTCGCCCGTCCACTGCTGTGAACAACAAAAACATCTATGCTGCGCGCCGTATGATCAAAACAGACAGGCATGTAACATACCACGAGATTCGGGCATCATTAGGCACAGGCATGAGTCAAATACAATCAATACTACACAAACATTTGGGTGTGAAAAACCTGCGCTCTCGGTGATTCCACACAATTTGACTGAGGCTCAAAAACGGATCACGTCACTTGGTGCAATGCCAAGTTTACCAGATTCAACGAAGGGGGGTCAAATTTGGTGTGGGACATAGTAACAGGTGACGAAACATGAATTTATAGTCACAATCACAAAGCAGCAATCGAGCGTATGGATCTTTCGAGATGAGCCGAAACCAACCAAAGTGGCGCGCGTGCAAAGTGCCTCTAAGTGGATGATTGCTTTTTTTATTAAAATTGGACATGTGGCTATTGTTGCTTTGGAGAATCGTTGTACCGTGAACAGTGGTTGGTACACGACCATTTGTTTGCCGGATGTTATTGAAAAACTCCGTAAAAATAACCGTAAACGCCGTATCATCTTGCACCACGATAATGCCAGTTCTCACACGGCCAGACAGACAAATGAGTTTTTGAAGGTGAACAACGTTGACCTTATGAGCCATCCCGCGTCCAGTCCCGACCTGGCACCTTGTGACTATTATTTATTTCCAAAAATTAAGAACCAGTTACGCGGTCAACGATTTTCATCACCTGAAGAGGCTGTCGAAGAGTATGAAAAATATGTTTTAGAGATTGTCACGGAGGAGTGGCATAAATGTTTTCAAAATTGGTTCATTCGTATGAAAAAGTGCATTAACGCTAACGGAGAATATTTTGAGAAACAATAAATTCATTTATGACCATTTATAGTATTTGTTTCTGATTCAATCCGGAAACGTATAGTGCGTCACACGTATAAACAAATACACAACAGAAAAATGTTGACAGTGAATAAGTATTTCTAGTTGTTATAAGTAATGAGCCTGGCACTTGAAACGCCCGTTACTATTTTTTTCAATAGGATTTAATTAATTTGTGATCTAACTAATTTAAGCCATGATACCAGATTTGCCAAAAAAAAATTTTAAATCTACTTACACGTTTCATTATCGTAGGTACACATTGTATATATGAAAACAAGATCGATTATTATTTGAAGACAGTTAAAATCGATCATGATCGCGATCCTGGTTCTCTGGCAATAACTAGTAGCACTTAAAATTTAACAAAGTTTGCAAGAGTTTATAGTCAAAAACTGTCTCTGAAGCTCGCCTCGTTTATGAAAATAAACAGAACCGTCTTTTACCACTTAATACAGAAAACTGGTCTTCTTCCGCTATAATTAGCGTTTATTGAAATTTGAGTAGCAAATGTACAGATAACGTTATTTAACTTCATAGTTATTTCAGTTACAAGTAATAAATAGATGGTCAGCGACCCTGCAGTTGCTGTATATCCTGTTACTATCTTCTTTAATCAGTGAATCAATTTATTTGTCGTACTGATTGTGGATTTTCCTCAATTTTTAACATCCGGTATCCGGTCGGATATTGTTCTACTATCCGTTATCCGGCCGGATATTGAAAATGGGCCGGATATCGGATAATTACCAGATATCCGTTTCATCTCTAATCCAAAGTGCAAAGTGTCAAGCTTGATGTGCTTTTAACTGTACAAAAAATCAAAGTTTTACCTTCTTTCGCAATCTATCCCTATATGTATAAAGAAGGTAAAATTTTGCCAAACACGTTTAAATTATGAAAATTACGAAGTTTTAATGATTACTAATTGCGTCACTGCCTTCTTTATTCCTATTTTGACAGTTGGTTTACTAATACCGATATCAATTTTTATTCGTATATATTTTAATGACAGGTGATTTTTATTATCTATATTGAATTAAAGTGTAAAACTTTAAAATACGTCTCCTCTTTGTATTTTTAATAGACATAGTTCAATTCTAAATATAAGGTAGGTACGTATGAACTTTCAAAAATTAACAATTCAAATGAACCTGTGCTCAGCAGTTGGACGAATAATGGGCCGATGATGATACAAATGAAACAAGTTGGCGATTTATTGCAGGAGCGCATCCAACGTTCAGTCGATAATCGATAGAATATTAATTATCGTCTGCAATCACTAGCTGCTTGCAAGAAGGCTACACTTTGGCGCAATTAACTATAATTTTACTCCATCTTCAAAAAATACAGACTACTATACTAGTACAGACATTCAATCTCATACAAAAAATGTCGCACTCGTCGTAACTCCGCTAAATCTGACCCTTATTTTGATTCTGATCGCTGATTAATAACGTGTGTGTGGATTGAGTGAGCACCCAAAATGTGTTAGTCATTTAGTAAAAGTTGTAAAACAATTGTACAAACCAATCTTTCTATTTGTAAAAAGATAAAACAAGAGAAAAATAACTTAATGTGTTAACTGAGCCTATAGTAGTATAGTCAGATAACCTAATGTGATGTCTGACTGGCCCTCTGTGAGAACTGAGTGAGCACTCAGTTCTCACAGAGGGCCAGTCAGATCTACAAAAGTATTAAGTTTACATATAATATTGTTGTACTAGTTTTTAGTAAAAGTTTAGTTAAACTGTCGTTTTTGATTACAGATCGATTAGTGCCTTTTTCAATATTTTACAAATACTTTCTTATGCTCACTCAATCCGCACGTTTTTAAAAGGAACGATTTCTTAAGAACCAAATAAGTGAATTAAACTTCGTTTAAAAAATGTAAAATGTAAAACAAGCCACTAATGTGAAACGTTTTTGAATAATAATTATTTTAGAGTGCTCACTCAATCCTCCAATTTCTGAAAAGTTACAAATGTCAATATCTTTGGATTTGTAAGTATTACAGAGATTATAATTGGTAAAGTTTTAGTAGTAATTTACTACTAAATATCTGCCGTTTCAGATTTCGTTTTGATTATTTAATTGGAAAGATATTCGTTTTTTATTATATGTATGAAAATGTATATTGCAAGGTGACCACACGTTATGAAAATGCCAAAATGAACAAGTAAGTCATCATAACAACTTCATTATCATTCGAACGAACAAATACGGGCTCACACTCCATTATTGTATTATTTAGATGTTTATTGAATATTGGCTATAGAGCCACCGTTAACGAATACTTGAGCACTCAAATCGAGTAAATAAAGTAATTCGTTAACTGTAACTACAAATTCGCGCCAATTTTTTTCTCTCATATTTTTTTAAATGATATGTGCATACTGCCTATAGTTTTGTAAATACCTATCATCAATAATAATAATAATGTGTATGTTATTGTGCGTGTAACTGACGAACCTAGTTTTTTCTTGAGTCGAAATTTTGCATCGTTGCGAATATGTAAGATGTTGCCCTAAAATCGAATCGCTGCTTTAAACTTAAATAACTGACAAAGAGCTATAGCTATGTAAACAGATTATAGAAAAAAACTGTCATACCAAACCAAATGCTCATTAGTATCAGCGCCCGTAATTGAGTGAATTAAAAAAAAATGTATGTGGGCTATCCCTAGAGGATGGAAAAAAATAAGTCTGAGGGTCTATCTTACGTGCGTTTAATTACGATGCACGGTAATTTATAAAGAGGCTGTATGTATGTAAAAACTTATGAAAAAAAAGTTTTGAAAACGTATGAAACAAAAATTTTAAACACGAATATACCTCATCATATACTGTAAAAGAAGCGGTAAAATAAACGAAAGTATTTTGAAGTGAAATTACTCCACTAGTTTGTTGTAGAACTCATTTTTGCGAAGAATATAAACAAAAAGGTCTTCTATGTACTTTTGTTTACTTTACCGCCTTTTTTTTTAAGAATTTGGCGTTGGTATAATCGTGTATTTTATTTTTTTCATAAATTTTTACCCCATCTTTTTAAGGGTAAATAAGTAATACCATATACATATATTTTCTTTTTAAGTCCGCGCAATTACGGATGCTAATGCTAGTGAGCATTGGCTGCAAGACTGTTTTCTTTCGTCCGTTTGTAAAGCTTTTTGTTAGTTAATTATTTAAAACTATAGAGCAGTTACTCGATTTTGGGTCAACACCATACATATATATCGTCGGGGATTGTGCAATTATGTGTAACTAGTATTGGATAATTCCGCGTATCTAAAACATGTAGCCAATTGGAGTTTTGCATGCACGTAGGGACCCGCCTTCTTTATGCCAGTTGCGATTGACTAACAAAAAGCCAGGAATCGGTGAATAACAATATGCGTTTGATTTCAATACCGCGTAACTTACTCAGTTCGCGGCCAAATCAGATCCACGTAAATGACGTGGCAAGTAAATGAACAAGATTTACGGGAATCTATTATTAGCAGTCCGTAGCCAACATAAATTAATGCTTACTGTGTAAAAATGAAAGTCGTAGCAATTGGAATAACAAAGTAATAACGTTAAAACCTTCTCCTGTAAAATTTGATTTTGTGTAGACACGTCTTTAACAAAAGCTACTTACGCGGCTTTGCACTATACGACGATATTCGTAACAGTGCAAAATTTCGAGTCAAAAAAAAGAAATCCTAGGGTACTTATGTCACACGCACAATAACGTACACATTATTATTAATGATATTTACAAAACTATAGGCAGTACATACATACATATCATAAAGAAAAGTATAGGTGAAAAAAATTAGCGCGAATTTGTAGTTACAGTTCATATACGAATTACTTTTTATTATTTATGTTACGATTTGAGTTCTCAAGTATTAGTTAGCGGTGGATCTATAGCCAATATTCAATAAACACCTAAATAATAAATAATATAATAATGGAGTCTGAGCCCATATTTGTTCGTTTGAATGATAATGAAGTTGTTATGATTAGAGATGGGAAAAACTGCTTATTTTTTTAAACGGTTAAACGGTATGCTTTTTCAAAAAAAAGCGTGCTTTTTTAAACGCTTTTTAGTTTGAAGGTACCAAAATCCTTTAGAAAACGTTTGAGCGCATAGACTTTTATGTTAAAAAAAGCTTACAACGTTGTGTTGATAGCGATATGCAAGAGTATACCACTAAAGGTTTTAAGAGAGTTATATTTTTATCACATAACATTATTATATTAACATTTTGTTCATTGCCGTGTAAAAGCGTTCAAAAACATAAGTTGTCTAACTTTTGTAGTTGTTAACCGTTGAAATGGAAAAACTTGTGTTAAAATAATTATTATTCAAAAACGTTTCACATTAGTGGCTTGTTTTATATTTTGCAAATTCATATGTCACTTTTACCAAATCTAGATATAAACGAAGTTTAATTCACTTATTTGGTTCTTAAGAAATCGTTCCTTTTAAAAACGTGCGGATTGAGTGAGCATAAGAAAGTATTTGTAAAATATTGAAAAAGGCACTAATCGATCTGTAATTAAAAACGATAGTTTAACTAAACTTTTACAGTTAAAAACTAGTACAACAATATTATATGTAAACTTAACACTTTTGTAAATCCGACTGGCCCTCTGTGAGAACTGAGTGAGCACAGATTAAGTTATTTTTCTCTTGTTTCATCTTTTTACAAATAGAAAGATTGGTATCTACAATTGTTCTAGAACTTTTAGTAAATGACTAACACATTTTAAACATTTTTTAGAGAAGGTGCTCACTCAATCCACACATACGTGATTAATAGATGGTACCAAGTAAACTCGCGACGCTATTGTAATAATATTCGAAAAGGTCAACAGATGGCACCTATTACATTATTGTGACGGTTATTGTGTTCACACGTTTATTATCACATTAACATTTTAACACATAATAAAATCGCAAAGAAGCCGAGTCTATAGTTTCAATATTTGAAAGTAATAAGTTAACGTTAAAACGTTACTTAGTTTTGAGAATAAATCGAAAGAAATGCTATCTATACAATTTATTGTAAACTAACAAATGAATCAAGTACGCCATTGATAACCCATGGTTGGGCACTAGTAACGGGCAACCAGAAGCGAATATTAATACTTTCATACAAATTGCGCATAATACTTAAAACATTTACAGATCTCCTGGTTGAGTTCATGATGTGCCATCTTTTGAAGAAATTCCCTGGAGAATTATACGAGCTGTGCGTAGGCGTCCTTTTGAGGTTACTTAGCTACCAGAAAAGATGCCGTGTACGTCTAGCTCGAGATTGGCGGCCACTGTGGGCAGCCTTAATTGCTTTATTAAAATTTCTAGTCACCAACGAGAGCACCCTTTTAAGGCGCCACAACATTTTTATTATGGCCCAACAAGTAAGTTTATGACTTTTATCAAGACATTTCTTCTACGAGGTTAGTATGCTGATAATATGTACATATGCTGATAATATGTACATACCAACTACAAGCGTTCGTTTTACGATTACTGTGTCGCGTACTTTTTTATGATTATCGATTCGGTGATATTTGTGTCGAATACGTGACTCTCTATTCGTAATATAAGTAAACATTACATTATTTAACAGATTTAATGAATAGTTAAGAGTGTAAAAAATGTATATGGAATTTCATTGAATGGCTTTACTCAAGGTTCTGGATAATTTCCCCTGTAAAACCCAGATTCGATTTGCGAAAACATTTTCCAACTTTACATTCAAACATTATAGGGATATAGGATATATTATAGTTTTGTTATTTATACTGGTAGTTACTTACAAATTTATTTGCAAATCAGACAGGTTTTATGGTGAAAATTGTTCGGCGTCATGGACAGAATCACAGCATGATAGAAACTAATAAATAAATAAATATTAGACATCACATATTTACTACGGTACTCTTATCCTAAATTAACTAAAGCACTTGTGCTATGGAAATCGGAAACGATAACGGTACCCAGACCCGAGGCATAGTAAAGTTAAGTATATAATATGTAAAGTTAGTTTCTACATTGACTCGGTCGGGGATCGAAGCGGGGACCTCAGAGCTGGCGATATCATGAAATCCGGCGTGCAAACCACTCGACCACTGAGGTCGTCAAAACATTGAAAGAAACGCTTTGATTTTCAGGGTTAAACTTTTCATATTAACTACGATAGCATACTCACTTAGACAAGACATAATTTTTAACTTTGTGCTCATTCTAAGCTAAGCCTACGCCCCTCTAAGCTGCCTTAGGGCGTGTTCCCATTATGTCGAACGTTTTATTTATCGTTGGACGACTGTAGTGGCTTGCCTGTTCCCATGTCAGGACTATCTGTCGTGTATTTTATCGTTGACTGTCGACAGTCGTGTCTAGCTGTTGCCACTTGATCAAGACGACAATTTATCGGTTCCCGGCGGCCGCCTTGTCGTTTGCACGACACAATCGTTTGGAGCTGCGATTATCTGTCGTCACATTTTTATTGTGACGTTTTATTTATCGTCGGACGACTATCGTTCTCTGTCGCTCTTCCCATAGTCACGAGTCTGTTATCGAAACTTCAAAAAAATCGTGAGCAACAGTCAATCGTGTTGTTCTATGTGTGAACAAGTTCTCTTGTATTTTACAAGACACGACACTTTAAACTGCACGACTATCTGTCGTCACGACATTATGCGAACGCGCCCTTAGCACAAGTCTTGTCTAAGGTTTGTATTCTAGAACTCTACTCAATGCTCAAGTCAGGATTGCACTGGAAACACAAGCACTGGGAATACGACCCTAATGGCAGGGACTTGAATATGATTTCGAGTGCTTTAAACAATACTCAAATCCTGACTTGAGCATTGAGTAGAGTTCTAGAATACGAACCTAAGATTGAATTTAGCTATAGGCTAGGCTTTAAAAATACTCATATATAAAACGTTATCATTTCAGGTAGTAAATATTTTTAACCTCTTTATAACATTTGGCGATACGTTCCTGCCGACCCCGGCGTCGTACGATCAGCTATATTACGAGCTCATTAGGATGTATCAGGTGTTCGACAATTTATTCTATATGGGTACGTTTTTTATTGAAATAAGTTTTTTATGTTGAACAAACCCGCAATCAGACCGTCCACTAATGGCAAGTCGCAACGCAGGCTATAGCTAGGTGAGAGGTGAATGACCTTAAGTCCATATTATTGGAATTTAGATGTTTTTAGAAACGATGCGATGGTAAAAGTCATTAAGTTCTTCGTTTGTTTTTTAACCGACTTTAAAAAATGAGGAGGTCCTCAATTCGACTGTATATTTTGTATGTATGTTACGCTATAACTTTTTGTGAACCGATTTTGATTCTTTTGTAAAAAGGGGTGCCTCAGTAATGGTCCGATTTAAATTTGAAGAAAAATTTCCACCTGTAAGGGTGGCAAACTAGGGGATAAATCCAGTTTCTTGCACTTTCCGGTAACCGATTTCAATAAAACTTGGCAAATAGATGTAATATCACTAACTTTTGAGGGCGGTTTTTTAATACTCTGTACTGAGATTATTATTTAACATATTGTATTTGACATTGATTTTAAATGCCAGATCTGCGTCAACGCGCGGTTTAATCTGCGTGGCGGCAGCGGTCCAGCGGCCCCGCGTCACTTAAAGGACTCGCTTCGCAGTTGATCGCCGTAGTGATTGTATATGTAGCTGAGATCCTTCTTTGACAAGAATGGTTAATAGTACAGAACTCGTTCGGGACGCTGCAGTTATACTATTTGGTTTTTGTTTACTCAAATAAAAAGGCATCGAAGATATTGGATACATGCCTTTTGACGAACCACATCGATAAATGGATAATTTCAACTTCATGTAGATAAATTTGGTCGATTTTCAATGGCCAATATAAATTTATGACGTCGAGATCTATTATAGAAAACTGAACATATTCTTAAGCTTAAAAATCTGCGCGGTAGTGCTGAGGGCAGTGTGCCATTCCCTGCGGTTCGCCGCGCCCCGCCGCGCCACTCCGCGCGGGGGCGTGGTGAAACCGCGCGCGCCGAGAAGCGTTGTCAGTGTGTTCGACGGCGCGTGTTTTCCATACAAACTGAGGTACTTCATTACAACGTTAAAAAACGCAGCTCCGTCGCGGTGCAGTGTGATAATCGCTTAAGAGAGGCTCTTTGAAACGCTCGCCTCGTAATAAAAATTACTATTTAGCACTTAATGTTCTTTACCTCACACCTGCAGATATAGTTTAGAGATTCTATGGAAGTACGCTTATTTTCTCAAACACGTGCTCTGCCATGATCACATCTCACGTGTTTTTGAAGGCTCTTCATACCCTTCAAACTGGAGCACAGCACGCAGATGAAACAGGTACGGCAGTGATATCTGCCTACCAGCAGTATGTGGACAAAATAAAACTACATATTATCTCTTATCCCAATCGTGAATAAAAATAAACCTAGCGTAATGACTTCAATAAGATATTAAAGAAAATTGTAGCAGAATTTTAATTAAATGGGGAAATCTGAAATCATTGAAGATACATGGAAACTGTCTTAGGAACCACTAAATCTTGTACCTTGGAGTGCCGAGGTCGCTCCCCGAAGTCTTCAGAAAACCGAAGAGGCTGCTGAGATTCCTGGAGGAGCTTGGGTGGCACGAGTAGGACCCTGCACCCACCACACGCAAAATAGGCGCCTCGACGTCGAGTTGCGGAAACTAGCCCGTTGCACCAATACCAATACCAATACCAAATCTTTTTTGTAGAAACAGCTTTAGCATAGTCAATTTTTTGGTCAGTCGTGAGTTGTCCATAAAAATGGATATAATTGATTAAATTATTTTTTTGTGCTGTTCGTTTTAGTTTCATGTAAGCATCATTTCATTGTATGGAACGAAAAAAATCGGGACGGCAGAAGTTTTTCGGATTTAATAAAATGTTTTTCATACAAAATGAATAAAATTAACTATAATAATAATAATAAATAATAACGCACACACTCAACATAACTAATCTTATATATAAGATATATCTTAAATAAACTAATCATTATAATCATTTTAATAACTAATCATTTTAATCAGCATTAAGCTGATTATATGATGGTTGATATATTTTTTTTTAATGCTGACTCAGTTTCCTATAAGAATGATTTTATTCTATTGGAAGAAAAGAATCGGGACTGCAGAAGCTGGTCAAATTTAATAAAATGTTATTCATTTTGTATGAAAGAATATTTTTATTAAATTTTACTAACTTCTGCTGTTCTGATTTTTTCTTACAATACAAAGACGAAGTCATCAGCACTAAAAAAAATTATATCAATTTTATTAATTTTTATGGACAACTCACGCTGGACCAAAGAAATTATTATGCCAAAATTGTTTTCACAAGAAAAGACTTAATGGTTCCTAAGACAGTTTCCTTGTATCTTCTATGGTTTTGGATTTCTTCATACTGTTTCATTAAAAAAAACACTGCATAATAGTAATCTTGAAATAATTTGATCTTTCAGCTTTAAGATATTCAACCGGTGACGGCGAATTCAAGGCGGAGGCACTCCGTCTAGCTAACTGCCTTATAAATGTTCGAGCGATCATACAACACTTCTCGCCCAAAATTGAATCGTGGCTCTCATCACAAAGCCTTTCTACACCTACTGAAGATCAGGTATATAATGTTTCGTAACTAAAAATTATTTAACATATCGCGCTGCTATTACAATAGTGTTATAACTCAAAATATGTGAAATTCAGTCTCTATACGTTAATCAAACCCTAGTTAGAATATTGTAAAAAACAACTAAAAGATATCTACTTAACTCAAAATGAGACACGCTTTATGTGAGCTAGTTCTGGCCAAAATAATCCTTGTTCAAAAATAGGAAATTATTTTTTCTCTTTTATTTTTAAATATATTTGGCAAGTAGGAAATTGTCTGTAATAAACTATAACCTATGCATACATTTTAATTATCTTTCACGGGAAGCGAGTAATTCGTTTTTCGTTGATTCTGAGAAAATACACTTTTTGAGTTAATACACTATTGTATTAATAGTGCGATATACATATAACATTATTGTTATACTATGAAACCTTTAACGTACTCATTTCGATCCGAAATATTATTCGAGACGTTTTTAATATCTGTGAACCATCAAGACTTAAATATAACAAATATTCCAAACACTGAAATTCATTAACCGTAATAAAAAATACCAAGTCTTGAAACTTTTTATGAAACAACCATTTTATAATAAAATTAACTTCAAGGTCTAAGTTTAGGGGAAGACCTTGTTCATCATAAACCAAATTTCGTCGGCTTATTGCAGGAAGTCATTAATTGCCATATAAATTATATTTGATCCTATTTTAGATATTTTTAACTAATCAAACTCGTATGACATTCTATAGATACGATCAAAAAACTAATATCAGCAATCATTGTTTATCAGCAAAATTAAATCGTTTCAAAATTTCAAAAACTCGGCAAATTTCTATAAAAAAGACCTTACGATATTTTTTTAAACGTAGAACCATAGAACATTAGAAAAACCAAGATTCTAGAAAAATCATTCTAAAATTATTTCTATAAAAAATATCGATACCAGAAGTATCAATTAACGTAAGGGACATTTTGTCGAAAATGAGTTACATATATCATTGAATTCGGAAGTTCCCGCTCTATCGATTAGAATTGTTAAAATTTAGGAAATCCCAGTGGTTTAAAATATAGCATGACCCTTACATTAAAAAACATTGAAAAAAGATGTTTCGTTGTGGCACAACTGCTATATTTTATATGGTGCTATATTTTAATCCACTTTCCTTTCCTAATTCCTAAATCTTTCGTTTATAGCATGAAAGAAGAGGAAATTTTAAGAAACTTTGCTCTAGACACAATCAAAATGGGAGCAGACAGTAAAAAGTTATAGACAGATTAAGAAAATAAAATCATATTTTGGCTTTCCTGAAAAACCGTGGATTGTCCTTTACATTAATTGATATTTCTGGTGTCGATAAGGCAAATAATGGTGTATCATATTTTTTTAAATTAACTATAGTAAAGGGACCACTGCCGTGCGTTCTGGGACACCCGTCTTTATAACTGGATACATTACCTTTTCAGATTTTGGAAGTGGTCCGAAAGAACTACGATAGCTTGATACTCAAACTACAAGAAGGCTTAGAAGCCTACGAACGGTACTCGGAACGAATTCACAGACCTCTTTTATCTAAACTAATTTTGAGTGCAGTAACATCTGCGAGACAACGTAGCGACGCAGCTGCTCTTCATCACCATACTACTGCAGCTTTGTCCCATTACACTAGCATTTCTTGAAGTGGTATCGCACAAGGCTAATTACATTGATCTAGGTGGATTCAGCGCTATATTCCGGTTTGGCTAGTGCTGTATTGGACTGAATCAAAAGTACGTTTCAGTTGGTTTACCGATTATAACTTGCTTTAAGCGTGAATGAAGACATCGTGATCAAATCTAGATGTCGGAGAAAATTCATATTTCAACTCTTCCGAAGAGTGTGAAATCCCCAATTCTTACTGCGCCTATTAGAGGTAAATCCGGGCCAGCTTTTGAGTTAAAAGATTGTTCAAAACTAACTCAAATTCGCACTTTTCACACCGATCGTAAGAGCTATAATATTAATTTCTTATGTTCGAATTTTGGACGCACGGCACAAATCAAAATTACAAAATTCGTGTACCGTGCGGGATTCGCGTTGAGACTTCACTTGATTTTGGCTTAATTGGCCATGGAAGCTAAGTATTTATGAGTCTTTAAAAGGCTAATGTCCGCTTGCACTAACCTTAAGTATGTCTTAAACCAAAGCTTATAAGACTGATAAGACACTCTTAACACACTGTATTAAGAGATGTCTTTTGTCTTGCAAGCTATGTTTTAAGACATACTTGAGTCTAGTGTAAATGGACATGAAATACTGTAATTGACAAGGTACCGCAGCAAATGCAATAGTTATCATTATACAGTGTGTTAGGGCACGCACTGTATTAACTTTAAGGGGGTGTTTAGTATTCAATATTAGGTGAAAAACACTAATACATGTGGGGTCAAAACTCAACTCCCTAGGAATGGCAGCCATTTTGATTTTTATACTTAGTTTGCTAAACGTTTGTTCTAAAATTATCATATTATGAGAAGTAAAAGCAGTACGAACATAAAAAATATTTTTTCGGAAAGCTAAGATTAGCGACAATTGAATAAAATATCTGTCATGTACATAAAAAAGTGAGGGATTGCCTAATAAAAATAATGAATATAAATTTTTACCAAAAAAAACTAAGTTTTTGTAATTTAATCCTAAAATAACCAAATTAAGGTACTGTTTTTGT